CTCTCAAGTGGTTATAAATATATAAACCGTGCACACATACTAATAGGCCCAAGTCTATTATTCATTGTTTATTTTTAAAGAATGCCACTCGGAGACCATCCTCCATGTTCAGTTGTGGCCTGTATTTATTTTTAATGTATGTGAGTGCCGTAAAAGTATCAGAAAGTTTAACCTGGTGCCATAAAATCAATGTCTGATGCTATTAATGTGTCTTTAATAAAACGTAATCACCCCTGGGGTCACAAAAACAAAACATTTTGAAAGGCTGATGGCTTTTTAATGTTTATTATTGACATGTTAGGGCAAAGCAGTGGTGCAGTAGGTAGTGCTGTCGCCTCACAGCAAGAAGGTCGCTGGTTTGAGCCTCGGCTCAGTTGGCGTTTCTGTGTGGAGTTTGCATGTTCTCTCTGCGTTCGCGTGGGTTTCCTCCGGGTGCTCCGGTTTCCCCCACAGTGCAAAGACATGCGGTACAGGCGAAATGGGTAAGCTAAATTGTCCGTAGTGTATGAGTGTGTGTGTGAATGTTTCCCAGAGATGGGCTGGAAGGGCATCCGCTGCGTAAAAACTTGCTGGATAAGTTGGCGGTTCATTCCACAGTGGTGACCCCGGATTAATAAAGGGACTAAGCTGACAAGAAAATAAATGAATGAATTAACATGTTAACAATGTTACTATTAACTACTATTTTGGTTCGGTTATGGATAAATTATTGTAATTCTTATAGTTTATTAAAATGTTGATTTTTGAAAAATCGCCAAGCAACCCCCCCTCATTGTGTCGCGACCCCCCCAAGGGGTCCCGACCCCCACTTTCAGAACCACTGCCATAATGGTACCTCAAAGGTACTTTTAGGAACTAATATGCACCTTTTAGGTACCCCTGTGGACTATATGGGTACAAATATGTATCCTTTAAAAAGGTACTGCTCCAGTGACAGCTGCCGTACCTTTATTTCTGAGAGTGTGGTACCTTCATGGATCAGATTTGTATGTTTGATGTAGGCACGATGTTTTGTCTGCAGGTTTTAAAAACCAAAGGGACATTTTGGTTTCCTATGGTACAAATCATGTCCTTAAAGGCACAAACTGCAATGGTACAACTGTGTTTCTTTGTCTTAAGGTACAATTCTGTTCCATAAAAAGGCTCTGCCCCAGTGACAAGGGTTTGTACCTTCTTTGATACAACATTGAACCATTTTTTTTCTGAGAGTGTTAGGGTTAGGGTTATTATATTTGTGCATATACATTAGATTAGTCAGTGCTGAAGCCAAATCTGGAGCTTATCTATCAAAATAACTTACGATAACGGTCCAAAAACTGGTACTGCCAAATGTATATGTTACAATAAAATATAAAATACAAATTTTAAAACTAGGAAAAATCAAGAGAAGCAAAAAAATGGGTCCCACTTTATATTTAGTGGCCTTAACTAATATGTACTTACACAGGAATTAATAGTTTGTTACAATGTACTTATTATGTAAATACATGCATTTACTGTGTACTTATTCTTGATTAAATACAAGTATGTAATTACATCTGTAATTAACTTTTGTAATTACATTTGTAAACACACTGTTGACCATCCCTTACACCTTAACCCACTCTTAAACCTACCCACACCACCAAAACTGTTCATAACCCAACCTCTATCAAGACTCAAAAGCACCACACGTTCTCAAATACATTATAAACACAGTAAATACATTGTATTTATTTTTTGATGTAAGTACATAGTAGTTAAGGACACTTAATATAAAGTGGGACCAAAAAATGTTTTAAATATATTGAAATTTATATTTTTGCAATATTTTAATTGAGTTTAATTGTATTATCTTTCCATTTCTGAACATGTTTGGTGACTAAAATATTATTTTAATAAATACATCTGTTTAATAAATCTATTTTGTTTAAATGCACCAAAAACACTGCCTATTTTCACTGAGAAATGGATCAAAATATTGGTGTACTCAGTTATGCTGAGCACATATGGAAAGCTAGCTGCTGACATCTGAGGTATTTGTTTTAAGATTGCCTGTATGCCTCCTCATTGTACATTCAAATGTGATTGGAATTAGGTTTATTGATAGATTGGTTACTTGTTGCATCACCATAGCAATGATGCATCGATCATGTGGCATGCTTGTTTGATTATTGATTGTTTGGATGGGGGAGGACAGCTGCTTTCTCTTCCCTGCCTCTGATTAGAGAGAAAATATTTTGCTGTATGGATCCGATTTGGGCTTTATTTATTCAAATAAACAGCTTGAAAATGATGCAAAGTCTTTACTAAAATAATCCAACATAGATTTTTTTATTATGTTTTTTTTTTTTTGCACAAAGTGCACGTTTAGCTTCATTAGTTTTGTATGATATTTACAAACATTAATCGCTGTAATATGATGGAACAGAAACACAAAATAAATCATCATCAGACGCATCATAAAACTGCATAACGAAAGATTATTATTCATTCACTCTTTTTCTTTTCGGCTTACACTCTTTATTATTCTGAGGTCACCACAGTGGAATGAACCGCCAACTTATCCAGCATATGTCCCGCCACAACCCCTGGGAAACATCAATACACACTCATACACGAACATACTACGGACAATTAAGCCAATTCCCCTGTAGTGCATGTGTTTGGACTGTTGAGGAAACCGGAGCACCCGGAGGAAACCCACACGAACACGGGGAGAACATGCAAACTCCACACAGAAATGCCAACTGACCCAGCCGAGGCTCAAACCAGTGATCTTCTTGCTGTGAGGCGATCGTGCTACCCACTGCGGCACCGTGTCGCCTAGAAATCTGCAATATCTGCAAATTATATAAGACAAAGTTTGGATTACACATATATGTCATATATACAACAAAGTAAAGCAAAAATGGCAGTTTTCATGTTGTTTTCAACCATTAATTAATTACAAGTATGTTTGATTAAGTTTATATTATTTAAATATATTCAGGCTTGGCCCTGTCTATATCAGAATTCTGTGGGTTTAGTATATTATCTGATGGACATTGTAAATCAAAAGATCACTTTGCTATATTTAATAACAAATCGATTTCATATTTTGATTCTGAATAGTAATGACTGTGTGATATTATGGGGGGGTCATCGTGGTGCAGTGGGTAGAACGATTGCCTCACTGCAAGAAGGTCATCGCTGGTTCGAGCCTCGGTTGGATCAGTTGGCATTTTGTGTGGAGTTTGCATGTTCTCTCCATGTTGGCGTGGGTTTCCCCCACAGCAATACCTACAGTATTTTCATGTGATTAAATTTGCTGTCTTTTTGAAAATGTACCAAAACAATTTAGGGATAAAGAGTCAATCAAACACTTTGCATATTTTATAAAGGCATGTATATATCATCTTAATTAACTGATGCAACACTGTAGTCAGTGGTGTTGTGAGGGGTTTAAGCCCCTGATGTATTGTCAAAAGCCTTATCTTATAAGGATATAAGATATAATCAATTATATCATCTTAATTAAATCGTGCAACACTAATACACTAGTAGTCTAATCTGTTTTTACATGCGGATTTGTTCTCTTTTTGAACAAGTGAACAGAAACTATTAAATTTAGGGATAAAAGAGTCAATCAAACAATAATGTTCAGTAGGCTACAGTCAATATATCATCTTCATTAAATTAATGCTCACTATTTACACTATAGTATTCACTTAATTAGTATTTTTTTCAATAATCTCTCTTTTTGAACCTGTCGACTGAAACTATTACATTTATAGGAAAAATAGTCAAACACTTATGATTTGTTCAGTAGACTTTCATCATTTATTTAATCTTCATTAAATGATTTAAAACTGTAGTATTTACTACTAATTACTATAATATTTTTATGTGATTCAATTTGCTATCTTTTTGAACATGTAATCTGAAACAATTAAGGGAATACCAGACAATCAAAATCTTAGGATATATAATTACATAATCTTAATTAAATGATGCAACACTATTTAGTTTAAGTTAATATAGTATTTCATGTGGGTTTGCTCCCTCTTTTATGTTAACTGAAACCATTAAATTAAACTATTGCGATGCTAATTATTTAAATGATGCATGCATTATGATTCCATCAGAGACAGTTATTTCGGTAACACTTTACAATAACAGTACATGAATAATGATGTATTAATATATAAACTAAACATTACTTTATTATGAATTAATGATGAGTTAAGGTATGCACTAATTATGAATTAACTTTAACTACAACATGATTCACATGAGTTCATGTGTGAATAATGGCTACCTTAATTATTTTTTAGTTCATGATTGTTTGTTAATTAATGTTTTAATTACCACATTAGTTTATGCTTAATTTAACCATAATGAACTCATGATATGTTAATGTATAATTATGGTGTGACTTTACTTGGAGGGGCACATCATCATTAACCGATTCTTAACTACTCATGAACACCTTATGCACGTCCAACTAGTGAGTTTACACTGAATAACAATAGAAAAGTGTTCTGTCAACATCAACATAAAGAGGAGTTCATAAGTAGTTAAGGATGATTTAATAGTGATGTGCCCCTCCAAGTAAAGTCATGACATAACTATACATTAACAGCTCATGAGTTCATGTTGGTTACATTTAGCCTAAACTTAAATGTTAATTAATACATTAATTAACAACATGTACTAACAAGTAATTAAGTTAGTCGTTATTTACACATGAACTCATGTGACTCATGTTGTACTTAAAGTTAATTCATGATTAGTGCCTACCTTAACTCATCATTAATTCACAATAAAGTAATTAATAGTTTACATATTAATACATCGTTATTCATGTACTGTTATTGTAAAGTGTTACCGTTATTTCTTTAATTGTCATCCCTGGACAGGCGAACATCAACATTTTAATGGGTTTTGGGGGCCGGGCGTCAGCTTCGCGCTCTCCATGTGTGATTGGTCTGCTTTTGCACTGAGGGGGGCATCCATTGAGGAATGTGTTGGTCATCCTGGAGAGTAAGTGATTGGGAATCACGTGGACTTGACCGAAACAGGCAGAGAGGGGGTCGGCCAGCGAGAAGCATCAGTACAGGGTCACCAAACCACCGAGAGACCACCTGGAGGTCCGAGTTTTAACGCAAACATCCAGAACTGAACCCCGGGAGTTAAGCATAGAGGAGGCCAGAATTGAGGAAACCCATGGCAGAGGGTATGTCAGATGTTTGTTTTTGTTTTTTTGTGGGAAAATCTGGCCCTCAGTGTGAAGGTAGCTACATCAAGGTGTTGACTGAAGTAAAGTTGGTTTTGTTTTCACGCATTTATACTTTCTCCTTAATAATATAATTTCCAAAATCTAAATAGAGAAGTTATATTAGCAGCCAATGACTATCAAACACTGCTTATAGTCAGTTAAACAGCGCTAAGGTTGTTTTGAAGTCTTGCTTGTGATTTCAGACCAAATATTCAAAGTACCATGGTAAACAATAGAGGGGGAATGTTACAAGTTGCCACTGAATGAATGTGCAAATATAAAAGTAACTTCACCTCAGTAAGGTGTTGCTGGTTTTCAGGAGACGCGGGGGCTGGGGTCCATTCATTCATTGTCTTTCAGGTTTTCTCTCTCTCTGACCCCCCACTTCCTCGTGTAAAGTGAGTGAGGGCATATCGGAGCATGCTCTTTGTTTTAATATGGTTTTCTCAATGAAGACGGAGTTTTAAATGAGACTTTAGGCCCGCGTTGAATAGTCACAGAAGGGATGGATTTTTAATTGAGGTAAAGTTGGTTTCCACTCCCTTTAACCATGGTACTTTGAATATTCGGTTCGTAATCGCATGCAAGTATGACTTCAAAACAACATTAACGCTATTTAATTCACAGTGTACAATGTTGTACTTTGATAGTCATTGGCTGCTAATATAATTTCTCTATTTACAATAGCAAATACTTTTTGTAAGTTACAGTATGGAGAAGTCCGAATATGCGAATATAACCAACTTTACCCCAACAGGATTTTACCATGACTTCAGTTTCACACAAGTGTGTGCTTTTGTCGGGTTTAATGATCAGACATTTGTAGAAAGGCTCCATCATCTTGGAGAGAAGCGCCAGTTGAAGCAGTGTGTCGGATTATGTGGATAGCCTAATGAATATTCTCAAATTATTGATTTTTTTTATTGATGCCATTGATATAGGCCTATTGTTTATTTCCAGCTTTGTGCACCTCAGAGGACAACATGATCTGGTCTTGGTGTAAATAATTCTATAGCTCAATAAATGTGTATTAATACATACATATATACATACATACATACATACATATACATATATATATATATATATATATATATATATATATATAGATAGATAGATAGATAGATAGATAGATAGATAGATAGATAGATAGATAGATAGATAGATAGATAGATAGATAGATAGATAGATAGATGAGCAATTTCAGCGTTATTGATGTGACATTTGCATTAAAATCTCAAAACATAATTTGACATAGGAAGTCTATGTTAACATTATATTGAAACATATCTTTATATTTTTCAAAACAACTAGCCACCGAGTTGTGGGAGCAGAAAAATATCAGTCTTTACACATTTATTATATTTTAAAGGAGGAAAATAAACGTGCGCTATGTGACAAAAAGGTCTGCGCATTTACCGTAGACAACATACTTTGAAGAAATTCTGTGAATTAAACTGCACAACCCAAATGAAACGATGCTAATCAAAAGGATAAGAGTCGGCTCAGAACAAACATGATTTATTTGATTTGATTTTACATTTTTGCATTTATGAGGAAAAGCTTCGTTGTGGATGTGACATCTCTCTGTTATGGATGTGACAGATGTGAAATTTTGTGTGATTTTGGTAAATCATATATAATTGTTTAAAAACACTGACAGATACATTTTCGAGTATTTTTAAAGCACTGTAAAATACAAGCCTAGACAAAAAACACAGAAACGGTTTTGCTATTTTGGCGAAGACTTAATTTTTTTCATGGCAAGGTTGACATTTGCATGGAATTGCCCATATATAGAGTATATGAAGAGTTTAGATACAAAAATCCTGAATTTTTCCTCAAAAATAAGCATTTTTCTCAGATTCCTCTGTGTATGTTCAGTAAGATCACTTTTATGGCAAACAATAAGTCTCTTTTTCCTGGTCTTTAAAGGTTAAATATATCAACATAAACAAAGGGAATAAAAAAATGTTCATTTTCGATGGAAATTTCAGACGGCACTTAGAGGTTTTTGCATCTCTCCGTATATATATATATATATATATATATATATATATATATATATATATATATATACACATACACACACACACACATGCACGCACGCACGCACACAAACACACACGCGCGTGCGCGCATGCACACACACTACCAGTCAAAGGTTTGGGGTCAGTATGATTTTTAAATGTTTTAAAATAAGTTTCTCCTGCTCAACAAGGCTGCATTTATGTCAATAAAAATGTTAAATTGTGAAATGTTATTGCACTATAAAATAATGGTTCACAAGTAGTTTATAATATAATGCAATAATGTATTCCAGTGATTTATTTTAAAGATGAATTTTCAGCTTCATTACTCCAGTTTTCAGAGTCTCATGATCCTTCAGAAATCACTCCAATGTTAATAATATTTATAATAATTATTACTATTATTATTCATATTAAAGTAATAAAAGTAATAATGACTGGAATAATAACTTAATTTTAAACTACATATAATAAGAAAGCAGTTATTTAAATATTGTAATATATTAAAGAGTTCATATAATTTCTACAAAACATTGTCATGAAAATTCGTATCTATTTTACTTTGTGGCAATTTGATTAATAATGCGTACGAATTTGTTGACAATTCTTATAGTTTTTTTTCCCTATTTGTTTTCCTATTCCTTTAAATTTGAAAGTATATTTCATAGTGATGATAGCAGTATACTGTTGTTCTGCTTAATAATAGGCTAATGAGGCACGGGACGATAACCGTTTTCAAGGTATACTGCGATCTGGAAAAATCAAGGTTTTAAAACCACCAAAATTTGCTGCCATACCGTTCCTAAAGTATGTGTAAGATTTTTTATTTAGGTTTTTTTCTTTTTTAGGACAACAGTATCTCCAGCAGAAAATATATCCAAAGATGCCGTTTTTAGTTGTAAAGAACTCTGATGAAGACATGACATTTGTGTTATTTAGCCTGACATATTTACAATTCTAAAATATTTAAAATGTTTCTCAAATTTAAATATATTGTGTTTAATGGGAAAACATTTTTTTTTACCCGGACATTTAAAAAGAACATAATATCAGAGCAGTAATCACAATACTGTGAAACCGTGATATTTTTATCCAAGATTATCATACCATCAGAATCTCACACCGTCCCATGCCTAATTGTAATATTTTGAGAAATGTCTTGATTTGTATTTATTTGCTAAGAAACTATTAAATTTTTAACAAACAAGATGATTGCTCTGTTGTAAAACATGATGATAAAGTATATGAGTGGCTTGAAAATGGAGCAAAATTATTGCAGACAACCACTGGGTAGCCTATATCCAGGAATAAATCTGGCAGTTGTGGTTCCATCGATAACGCTTTACATTTGCATTGCACAGAAGGTATTTATGAGGGTTCTTTAAGTTATTAAAGCATTAATCAAAATAAGAGAGAACTGTTATTTTAAGAACTGTTCACCCAAAGTTTTTTTGGGGTCACAAAAATGGCTTTATTTCCAGTTTCCACAGACAACTGTTTTGGAACTTTTAGTTTTAGCACTGCATGTCTGTCGATAGATTTATGAATAGATTCAGTTTTTATTTTTAATTATTAAATGGACAAAAGCCTTTATTTTCTCTTGTAAACCTCTGATGGTAGATGCAAATGATTTTGCAGGAGGCTGTGCGAAGACAGAGGAGGAGGAGGGGCAGGCCGCAGAGGAAGACCCTCGGCCGTATCATGGTGTGGGTGTGTGCAAGTGGTTCAATGTTCGGATGGGTTTTGGATTCCTATCCATGAACACACGGGACGGTGTGCCTTTGGAAACTCCAGTTGATGTATTTGTCCATCAGGTAAGCATTTCTTGGGAAATCAGCTACAATGTTTAAGTCCCTAAACATCACACTTTGTTTCGTTTTGAAGCTGCAGCCACAGCACGCACTCAAAACGAGCTGCTTCTTCAAACTGCTTATTTAAAATGAGCTGAATCAACACAATTCTTGAGTGTTTTTTTTTTGTGAAACTTAATTGTTTTAATCCACTTAAATTTGTAATAACAATTAAGAGAACTTAGTAGATTTGTGTTGGGACAACATCAGATAATTGTATTTTTACAGTGTATTTTTGTAGGCCAGTCTGTACACTCTAAAAAGTGATTAGTTACTTAAAGCGAGTAAAACAATTGTTTTAAAAGCAACAAGTTGACTTTACAAAAATAACGTAAGTTAACCCTATTTAACTTGGAACTGTTAAGTTGACTTCATTTTTATAATTATGCTAATTGTACTCTTTTTTTAAATAAAAGTAAACTAATATTATATTAGATTTTTTCAGCATTCCTGTATCTAGCAAAATGACATACAGTCAAATAAATCTGCTCTTCCAGTGTCTTCTAAATTCAATACTAGCTATAATTGTAGATTTTATAGACTTAATGAAGCACCAAATATTTATTCATTCATTCATTTATTTTCTTTTCGGCTTAGTCCTTTTATTAATCCGGGGTCGCCACAGCGGAATGAACCGCCAACTTATCCAGCACGTTTTCAGGTAGCGGATGCCCTTCCAGCCCCCCATCTCTGGAAAAAGCACCATTCATTTTCTTGTCGGCTTAGTCCCTTTATTTATCCGGGGTCGCCACAGCGGAATGAACCGCCAACTTATCCAGCAAGTTTTTACGCAGCGGATGCCCTTCCAGCCGCAACCCATCTCTGAAAAACATCCACACACACATTCACACACACACTCATCCACTACAGACAATTTAGCCTACCCAATTTACCTGTACCGCATGTCTTTGGACTGTGGGGGAAACCGGAGCACCCGAAGGAAACCCACACAAAGGCAGGAAGAACATGCAAACTCCACACAGAAACGCCAACTGAGCCGAGGTTCGAACCAGCGACCCAGTGTTTTTTGCTGTGAGGCGACAGCACTACCTACTGTGCCACTGCCTCGCCGGAAAAAGCACCAAATATGTAATATTGTAATAATTACAGTACTTATTTGAAAACAGACGTGCTAAAATAGTCTGACACTGTAAAAAGGGATTAGTTGACTTTAAAAAAGTGAGTAAAATTAGTATCATTATAAAAATGAAGTCAACTTAACAGTTCCAAGTTACAACACTGCAAAAAATGCTTTTCTTACTTAGATTTTTTGTCTTGTTTCTAGTCCAAATATCTGAAAATTCTTCTTGATTTAGGAATTTTCTAGACAAGCAAAACATATTGTCTTGTTTTAAGAAATAATATGCCAATAATAAGTGAGTTTTTCTTTAAAACAAGCAAAATAATCTGCCAACGGGGTAAGCAAAATAATCATACGTCAAAAAAAAAACCAAGATTATTTTGCTTACCCCGTTGGCAGATTATTTTGCTTGTTTTAAGGAAAAACTCACTTATTATTGCATATTATTTCTCAAAACAAGACAATATGTTTTGCTTGTCTAGAAAATGCCTCTTGATATAAGAAATTTTAGATATTTAGACTAGAAACAAGACACAAAATCTAAGCAAGAAAAGCATTTTTTGCAGTGAATGGGTTAACTTAGGTTACTTTTATAAAGACAACTTGTTGTTTTTAAGGCAATTGGTTGACTCGCTTTAAGTAACTAATCACTTTTTATCATGTAGGTTTGCATCACCTTGATTCCCTCAGCAAAATCCCAAATGTTTTTTTCCATTGCATTTTCAATTAATGCAGAAAAACCCACAAAAGGGTATAATTCATCTTTGTAATCTTTAGAAATTGTATTTATTTAGAACCTTAAATAACCTTTATCTGCAGTGGCATGTTCAGTGGATATCTGTGTCATACCATAGTAAGACAGCTTTCAGAAATACCACAAGTGGGTATTACTGATGCATTTTGTGTCATAAAGAGCAAAAATCTAAAGCTTCTTTTATATCACAGACCAAGTTTAACCAAAAATCCATCGATCTCAGAATGAAAGAAACATTCTACAATACTTATTTCTTTGTTTTTTCATGCAAAACGGCAGAATTACATTTCGGAGGCTGTTGCATTGACCCTTTCCCCATTTTTTTTTGCCCTTTATTTTTTGTAAAGCCGTCATCTGAAATGTCTGAAACAATCATGCCTGATTGTCCAAAACTCTAGGCAGACAGTATCACACACTAGTCCCCCCTTCACTTCTCATTCCTCATGTAAGTGTCACCTCTTAAAACAACAGTCTGGCCTGTACTCAAGAGCGCCTTCAAAGACGATCCCTTTAATCTTGTTTCCTGTCATAAAGCCATTAGCCACATATGCTATTGCATAGTAGCATTTAGGTTGGGGACATAAGGCATGGGGACAAGTTTTACCACATTTACGCCATCTGTCCACACTATGCCGGAGTTTTCAAGTGGCAAAAACAGAGCTTTTTTAAAACACTGGAGAGGCCATTTTCATTTGCTGCCCTTTTTTTGAAGTAATTAAATAATACATCTGCAGACAAGAGCTGCATCCCAAATGGCATACTTATGCACTATTCTACACCATTTTGTAGTATAAATAGTGTAAGTAGTGTGTTCACACTGAAAACTCTAAAAATAATAAGTGCACTTTAATTACCCGGATCATGCACTCATTCAGCCGCTAAAATGAAGTGTGTAATGTTGGACACTTCACGCACTCAACGACCGCAGGTTTGCTTACGTAGCGGAAGGGGCAGAGCTATGGGCGCACATGTTGAATAACTTTATTTATTTTGGATGGTGAAGGCAAAATTCTCCTACGAGAGTGATTATAGCGCCTCCCGATGGTGAATGCGATTATACTCACGGCAGGTATTATTTGATAATTCGGTCGTTTATTTCACTGATTTGGCAACCGTCAAACGTCATCAGGGAAACGGTTTAAACTTCCGGTTAGTAAAAAACATTAGTGTGCCATTTGGGACGCCACTACATACATATACTATCCTGTTGAGTGTGTAAGTGCATAAGTACATAGTGCATGAGTGCATAGTGTATAGTGTGCCATTTGGGACGCAGCTAAGGTGTTTACTACGTTTTTTTTTACGCTGCAAAATGTGTTGATATAGGAGTAGAATGGCTGATACAATTCCATGATAAGTTATTTGATGTTGTAAAATGTAGCTGGGCGGCACGCTGGATAAGTGGTTAGCACTGTCGCCTCACAGCAAGAAGGTTTCTGGTTTGGGGCCCGGCTGGGCCAGTTGGCATTTCTGTGTGGAGTTTGCATGTTCTCCCCATGTTGGCGTGGGTTTCCTCCGCGTGCTCCGGTTTCCTCAACAGTCCAAACATACGTGCTGTAGAGGAATTGATGAACTAACTTGGCCGTAGTGTATGTGCGTGTATAAGTGTTTCCCAGTACTGGGCTGCAGCTGAAAGGGCATCTGCTGCGTAAAACATATGCTTGAAAAGTTGGCGGTTCATTCCGCTGTGGCGATGCCTGATGAACAAAGAAACTAAGCCGAAGAAAAATGAATGTTGCCATTTTTGTTTTGTAACTGAGATGCTTTTAAAAAAATATGCAAATGATAAACTTTCCCTCATTTTCACTCTGTTATGGATAAACTCTGCAGTCACTCCACAAATCCCACACAATCTGATCTGTAGTGATGATCAAATGTTATCCCACCTCAGCATTGCACTGTGATGTGACTATTGCGGATGCTCACACTCCGAAAATTACTGGCTACTTGTTCAAACTACTTATTTAAAAGGAGCTGAACCAACCCAACTCTTGAGATTGTTTTTGGACAATTTCATTGTTTTATGTTCAGTCCACTTACATTTGTAAAAACAAATCAAGTTAACTTAATTTGTGGTGGGACAACAAGAAGGAATTGTGTGGAACCCAGATTTATTTTTAAGTGAAGTTTATTTATAAACAAATTTCGAGAGGATCACGTGCTTATGATTGTTCACAGCTGTTCCAACTTTAGCTAATGACTGATTATCCTATCAGACAATCCTTAACTCACTATAAATAAACAGACTTTTCTCATCGCAATACCTTCGTCTTGAAGAAACCCCCCCACCCAACCCTACTTTCCCTTCCTTTCCAACGGGCGTCACGGTGGCCAGCGATTAGCGCTGTTGCCTCACAGCAAGAATGCCCCTGGTTTAATTCCTTTCCAAACCCGACGGCATTTCTGTGCGGAGTTTGCTCGTTCTCCCCGTGATCGCGTGGGTTGTCCCGGGTTCCTCCCACAGTTCAAAAACAAGCACTCTAAACAAATAATCCAAATACTTTAGCTAAACTCTGAGTACACCTTTCAGCATCCATATCTGACACTTAGCTACAACAAGCAAGAGGGGGAGTCAACGAGATCTACCTGAGCTCAAACTCCCCTCTCGCCTTGCAACGGGAGGGAGCCCAGGGCTCGAGGATCTTAAAAGCTCAGGGCTCTCTCCCGGGGCAGCATGCCAAACTAGCTTTATTATCAATCATCAGCTAAGTGTGAACTCTTGAAAATGCATTGCGATATTGATGGTGAAATGATCTTCCCGTGCTCCACGTGTTGGTGTGGGTTTCCTCCGGATGCTCCGGTTTCCCCCACTGTCCAAACACATGCGCTTTAGGCCAATTGGATTAACTAAATTAGCCGTAGCGTATGAGTGCATGTGTGAATGAGTGTGCATGGGTGTTTCCCATTACTGGGTTGCAGCTGGAAGGGCATCAACTGTGTAAAACATATGCTGAAATAGTTGGCAGTTCATTCTGCTGTTTCGACCCCTGATAAATAAGGCACTAAGCCGAAGGAAAATGAATGAATGAATGATTCTTCAAACTAAGCAAGCCAAAGGCGACAGTGGCATGATTGATTTGTAATCCACGCGCTGCACACACGTTCAGTGACAGCCGGCCTCAGCTACAC